GAAAATTAGCCGGGCGTGGTGGCGAGTGCCTGTAGTCCCAGCTACTCAGGAGGCTGAGGCAGGAGAATGGTGTGAACCAGGGAGGTGGAGCTTTCAATGAGCTGAGTGAGCCACTACACTGCAGCCTGGGTGACAGAGTGAGACTCCATCTCAAAAAAAAAAAAAGAAAGAGTCGGGGCACAGTGGCTCACACTTGTAATCCCAGTACTGTGGGAGGCCTAGGAGAGGGGATTGCTTCAGCCCAGGAGTTCCAGACTAGCCTGGACAACATAGTGAGACCCCATCTTTATAAAAAATCAAAAATTAGCCAGGCATGGTGGTATGCACCTGTAGTCCCAGCCACACTGGAGGCTGAAGCAGGAGGATTACTTGAACCCAGGAGGTCTAGACTGCAGTGAGCTGAGATCATGCCACTGCACTTCAGCCTGGGCTACAAAGCAACACTCTGTTCCCGCAAAAAAAAAAAAAAAAATTAAAAGAAAAAAAGTAAGTACAAGCCATGATGGGAGCTGGGCAGGCAATGAAAGGAGAAGTAAGAATCGTTTGGTGCCCAACCTAGAGGTAAGAGTGGCTGGCAGCTGGGGTGGGCCCCATGTCCTCTGTTGGAGAAATGGAGACCAGGGAGCCCAGAAGACAGGTCTCCGTGGTCACAGGGCGAGGAGCCAGAAGTTCAGTGACCCAGGGCAGGCTGTGTCCTCTCTCGGCAGGCGAAGCATGAAGCGGAAGGCACTATTCACCTGCCCTTTCAACGGGGACTGCCGCATCACCAAGGACAACCGGCGCCACTGCCAGGCCTGCCGGCTCAAACGCTGTGTGGACATCGGCATGATGAAGGAGTGTGAGTGTCCAGGGGCTGGGTGGGGTTTGGACCTGAGCTGGAGTCAGGGAAAGGCCTTGGCCATTCTCTTGCAAGTTTGGGCGAAGGGTCTGCCTGGCCCTTCCTCTGTAGCTGCCAGCGTCTGGGGCCAGGGCCTCATGGGACCAGCAGCTGGTGACAGGGCAGCTGGAAGTCCAGGGTCAGATGCACTCAGTGGCCCTGTGCACCTCTCGAGGATCTGTGTGTTGGTGTCAGAGGCCCTGGAAGGGTCCCTCCAGAGTGGGACCTGAGAGGAAGGAGAGGCAGGACACTGCCTTCAAGAGTCCCTTCTACTCCTGGGTCAGGGTCTTCCTCCAGGATGCCATTCTTTTTTCATAGCTCCCTGTTACTTGGACCGAGAGGGAAGAATGAGATTCAAGGAACCCCAGGTTCTCTGGGCTTGGGGAGAGAGGGCTGCTGTGGGTTGGGAAGGGCAGGAGTGATGGGGAGAATTAGTATTCAGAGCATAGCTGGCATCCACGTTCTGTCCCACGCCAGCCTCCCAGCCTCTCTGGTGCCTTGAACAGATCTGAGGGCTTGTGCCAGGGAGAGACCAGGAGGAAAGAGTCTGCCAGAGGAAGCACTGGGTTCTAGGACGACCCTCTGAATCCAGATGGAGAAAGAGGAGTGATTCTATAGGACTTCCTGTCCCACTCTGTGGTTGGAGAAGATCAACGTGGCATATTTACATGGATATTCTGACCCACCACCGAAAACAACACTTGAACTTTGCATCGGAGCTCTAGGACAGTTATTTGGTAACTGGATTAGCCACTGAATTCAGCAGATGCTGGGAGGGGCCAGCCAGGCCGTCTCTGGGCTGGAGCATGGCCAGCTGGGCATGGGTGCCCTCTGCACACTCATTCCTTGCTCTCCTTCTCTTGCTCACTCCTGTCTGCTGTCTGCATCCAGACCCCCACCGGGCCCTAGGACAGAACCCAGGCCCTCCTGGCTGTGGGTCTGAGGAGTCGGAGTGGGGTGGGGATGTTGCTGAGATGCAGACCCTCCTGGCTATGGGACCGTTTGGGGTGGTGGGGGATGGGGAGAGGTCAGGTAACAGGAAGATGTGTCAGGGACAGAGGAAGAGTCACAGGACAGGGCTTAGAGGATAGCAAATTTCTCCCTTAATGGGAAGAAAAAGTCTCTGTTTTTGGGACACAGAGGCAGAGCTGAGGCCCTCACCCTGGGCCTCCTCTTTGGGCCTTGACCTAGGATCCTCTTCTGTGGGTCACGATTCCTCCCTCCTCGTCTGGTGGCTCCCCAGCCAACACTGGCAGCCCTGGAAGGTGTTTCCAGGGCTGTGGTTTCTCCGCACCTCCACAGGGTGCAGGCCTGGGCACGCTGATCTCTCCTACCCTAGTCCCTGCCACGCCCTGGCTCCTGTGTTTATCCTGAAGAGAGTAAGAAGTGGAGGCTGGAGGCCTGGGTGCCTTATGGGGCTTCACACACATTCTCAGTGGGCCCTGCTCAGGGTGAGGCATTAGGGAGGGCACCAACAAGGTGTGCTCAGCACAGTCCTGTCTCCGCAGAGAAGATAGCCTCTGCAAAGCAGAGGGCCTGGTTTCTAAAGCTCCAGCTAACCAAGACTGGCACAAGATTCCACTGCTGCAGTTCGTAAGGCACTGCTGCAAGAGTTCCCCTCAGGGCCAGGCTCACTGATGCCCAAGAGGCCCCTCTCCTACCTCAGGAGGAAGAGGATGTCCTACTGACTTAGAATAGAAGGATCATCTGAGATTCAGAAAGGTAAAGACCTCAGGACTGGGATCAGAAAGCAAGTTGGTAGCCAAGCTGGGATTAGAATCAGACTTCACGTCCCCTCCTACCTGCTTCCTGGTCCCCATAGACAGTGCTGCATCCATGGTGAAGAGCAGCACCAGCCTGGAGTAAATCAGGGGGCCCTGCCCAGGAGCACCCTACCACATGGGAACCCAGCAGCCCAGAAGCGATGCCCATCCCATCCCTAAATCAGCGCTCTTCCCTAAGTCAGCCACCCCCACCCCAGCCTAATTCTTTCCTGTGGAGTCCTATGTCCCCATCCTGCTGTATGCCCAAGGCAGCTTCTCACCACACCACCCTCCTCATCCCAGTGCAGGGAGCGGTACTGAGTTCCAGATGGGCTGGTGGAGCGGGGGTCCAGTTAAAACAGAAATGTCCTGGTGCTTTTTACTTTCCCAAAGGGAAGATCGTCCAGGAAGAGACATCATTCCCAGCTTCAGGTTAGCCCAGCTTTAGGAGGCCTTGCCAGTGGGAAGTCCCCCAGCCTCAGAACCCTGGGAGAGCTGCTCATTTCTTATCTGGGCTGGGTTTTGTCCCCAAGGCATAGCATCCCAGAGACAATTGAGTGTCTCAATATTTGTAAAACCACAGGAAGGAAGCTAAAAGCCCAGGCTCCTGATGGCGGGGCAGGGAGATGGGCTTTCCATAGAAGAGGCACAGGAAGGGAAAGGATGAGGACAGAAACCCTGTGTATTGACCATCTACTATGCATCAGATAACACGTCAGGCACATGCATTTTCTTCTGAAATTCTCACAATACTCCCTAAATATGTAAATACTTTTATTTTTTCAATAGCTGAGGAAGCTCAGAGGAATTAAAATATCATGGCTCTGAGCTATTAAGATGATGGTATCAGCATTCATTCTAATCTAGGTCTGTCTGCTTCCAAAGCTCAGGCTTGTGGGCCACACCCGTGGCAGCCTCTCGTGGCCCCAGTGGGTCGGAGCTCACTCCATTGTGCATTTCCAGGCACTTTCACATGCTCTAAGAGATGGACTGAAGAGAGCTTGGTCCCACCAAAGACTCATCTTCTCTCTTTTCCTTTCTTAGTTGACTTTATACCCTGGGAACCCAAGAAATGTCCTTAGTTCTTGCTTTTTACTTGTACTATACCTGTCCTGCACAGAACCACACATTATAGTAACTTGTTTGATGTTTTTACAGACGTATGTCTTTTCTCCCTGGTGTTAGCAAAGTACCTGGCATATAGTGCTCAATAAATGTGTGGACTAAATTAATATTAGCTCCTCATTATGCTTCTTTCTCTCTGTATCTCTTCCACAGGTCTATGGATCAGTAAGATTCTCCCAAACTTGTCTGTGCCATTCATTTGGAAAAATTTTATGTCGTCTTCCTGTGGTTGTTCTTAGGCCATCCTTGGCATCTCGAAATGTTTTCAAATTGTTTATGTTGCAGATCTTGACTTCGTTAGGGAGAGAACATGTCTTGCACGGGAATAACTTGCGCAAAATTATTTCACGCTGAGCAAGGAGCTTAAAAGGAAGTCAAAAAAAGCTTCTGAGCAACCATGTAGGTTTTACAAAGTCCATATGCCAAAACTCATGCTCTTCAGACACCTAATCACCAGAGAGTCCAACACTCTTTCAGAATCTGTTTACTCTTATTCTAGGTCAATGGCTTCATATATTATATAGTGTCTTCCTACATGATAGTAATGACATTTTAGGTTCAATCCATTGAAAAAATGATAAGAAGTTTCCTATGAAATTAACAAGCTCTTTAAACAAATTATTTCATAAATCACAGTGAATTTGCATATGTGGAAGACTTTAGACTTATTCAGTCCTCAAGCAATGTTGCCTTGCAGAAGGCTTACGGATTGGGCCTGTTTGGAACTGATGGATCTCAGCATTTCTTCCTCTACTACCTGCATAGAAGATGATGGTTGCTATTTGATGCAAGTGACTTGGAGGAATCATGTTATAGGGTTAAACTTGAACTCTCTTTGTCTCTTTAAAGTAGGTAATTTACAAGCTTTGTGATGTAATTTTATTTTCTCACTCTTCAGATGGATTGGAACACAATGTGTGTCAAAACTCCAGGGCTGAAAGCCAAGGTCCGCTTATAACCAGATGTAATCAGACACAGTAGAGGCTAGTGGTTATGACCTTCCACTCCAGGACCAGACTGCCCAGGTCTAAATACCAGTTTCACCACTGTTAGCTGTGTGACTTTGAGAAAGGTAGAAAGCCTCTCTGGGCCTCAGCTCCCTCATCTGCTAAATGGGAGTAACAATAGCACCTGCCTTAAAGGGTTGTCATGAGGACTAACTATATGAGTTAATATACAAAAAGCTCTTAGAATAGTGCCTCATAGATAGAAAAAGTCTATATGTGCTATCCAGCATTAAGAATATTTTCTTTTTATTACATCAAACTTGATCACCAGAACTTCTAGCTCCCAAGAGATCAAAAGTAAGTCTTAAGGGGTAGAAAGGCACACTCCCGGAGGCAGACACCAATAAGAAGAGACAACGCATAGCTTAACAGAGAGGTGGACACTGGAAGCAAGAAAAGTAGCCCAAGAACTCCAAAGCCCAGCACGCCGAGCCGTGCAACGTGGGGCATACAGCCTCCGACAACTCCGAGGCTGTAACCTTGTCCTGCAATGTTCAGTAATTATTCAGAATGATACCTCTGAATCATCAGGGAAAGGTTATATGACGTTAAAAGTGTTCCGTTACAAGGTTTTCTGTCTTGAAAATCTTTCCATAACAATTGTTTCAATAAAAGAGGTCAGCTTTGCTCAGCTCTCTGGTGTGCCATGTGCCATTCCCTACATTGCAAGAGACAAGCAGCACTGGAGTACTCAATAGCCTTTCCTGAGCCAGGAAAATGATTTGCACACAGTTGGTGTAATCTGTGTGGATGCATTTGATGTTTGGTGCCAGACTATTGAGCAGACACCACAGCCAGGTAGCGCATCCGGTCTAGCCTTTAAGGGGAAAATATAAGAATTATAAAACAAAGGCCAGGAGTGGTAGCTCGCGCCTGTAATTTCAGCACTTTGGGAGGCCAAGGCGGGCGGATCACTTGAAGTCAGGAGTTCGAGACCAGCCTGGCCAACATGGTGAAACCTCGTCTCTACTAAAAATACAAAAAAATCAGCCGGACGTGGTGTCGTGTGCCTATAAACACAGGTACCCTGGAGCCTGAGGCAGGAGAATAGCTTAGAACTCCAGCGGGTGGAGGTTGCAGTGAGCCAAGATGGTGCCACTGTACTCCAGCCTGGGTAATAGAGCAAGACTCTGTGAAAGGAAGAAAGGAAGAAAGGAAGGAAGGAAGGAAGAGAGAGAGAGAGAGAGAGAGAGAGA